ATTTTAACTCCAAGAATCTTAGTAATAAAAGAAATAGCCACCCCATCCCCTACTTCCTTCAGTAAGGATCCAGCAAACTATCATGTAAAAATATATGGGTGGCTGTGTTATACTTGGGAAAGTATCCTAATGTAACAATCTTCTCTTAAAAAAAAATGTTTGGCAGGAGAGATTGCTCATCAGTTAAGAGTACTTGTTCTTGTAGAGGACGAGTTCAATTCCCAGCACCCACATGGTGCCTAACCATCCATAACTCCAACTCTAGCAGATCCAATGTCCTTTTCTGGCCTTCAAGGGCATTGCACACAAACGGTGCACGTACACACACACAGGCAAAACATTCATACATAAAAATTAAGTATTTTCTTAAATGCTTGTATGAAGCCACATTGTTATAAGAATGTTCTAATTTTAATGCTCACTGAAACCAAGTTCCAGACAGCCAAACTTTTATGTGCGAACCACTGAATGCTACTATAAATATATTCCTTAACATGGTCTGCTTCTTTAAATACCACTAAAGAATAGACTGATTGAAAAGCTGAACTTGGATTACAAACAAAGTATTTCCCATTGCTTGGCAAAATTATGAAGCTTTTTTTAGTTTCAAAAGGCTTAATTTCAAAGTCCAATTAATACTGCATACCACATGAAGCACTAAGCACCACAGGGAAGAGAAAGCATACTGATGCCAAGGGTCACTGTTTTCCTAGCTCTTATACACGTCCAGAGCAACTTCCATTTTTGCAAAATCAGCAATTTCAGTTAATTATTGGATTGTAACTCACTGAAATAGATTGAACAATCTAACTGGGGTAGGGGAAGAATTGATAATTAGAGTTAGCAATGATTTCCTCAGGTTTAAGTTGTCATGCCCTAATTTACTTTTAAACCTCTTGGAAGTTTTCTGTTAAGTCAAATAATCTTCAGGATTATAAAATATTAACCTGGTCTCTGGTGAAACTCAGGGGGATAGTCAATCCTTGGTTTCTTTCTGCTGTTATGAATATCATAATCTTCTGGTCGACGCCTACATAAATTAGACACATTAGAAATTAAACCAGAAACAGCTGGGAGAACAAACAAAGTTTTTGACAAATGTAAGTACAAAGACTAGCCCACTGCTTCTTTAAAATTATTAATTTTTGGTGAGCAACTTCTCTTGAATTCTTAAATCTTAATTCTTCAAATTAATTGGCAAAGCCCAATCATAAACATACTGCTCAAAGCAGGAATTCTCTGTAACCTCATACGAAAACAACCTCAAAGATTAAACTAATTCAAACACGTAAAACACATTTTAGTAGTCTAAACAAAAAAATGACTAGTTC